AACCAAATTTCCCTCCATGGACTCAGATTTTACAGGAAAGAAACAAATCACTTTTTAAAAAATGCAGTCTTTCATGTTTCTTGGGTGAAATGATTTTCAGAAATGGCTAGCACAGACTGTAGCAACCCTTCCATAGGATACATCTACAGGTCAGGGGAGGAGAGCCACTGCTTTGGATCATGATTCTGAAGAACTGAAAATCATTAAAAAAAAAAATCCTGTTTATTTATTTATATAGAAAGCAAGAAAGTGCTTTTAAAAACCAGCTTTACACAGAACACAGCTTGTATTTGAACAGCCATCTTTCAGGTGGTCTGCCCAGCTCCCCACCTGTACATGGGCATCCATACTGTACCCTCATACCCCACAATCATGGTGTGACTGGCATGTTCTGTGACCTGCCAAGTGTTCTCACCAGTAGCTAGCAGCCTGACCAATATCCCTTTCTTAGGAATTTGGGATTAAGTCAGTTGACTCTCTTTCCTAATGACTGGACAGTGACAGACAAACCCTGGAACTGTTGGTCACCATATTTTCCATCTTGCCAGCCAGGAAGTAAAATCAGAAGTCTATAGACAGAGAATGATGAAGGGGATCCTGAGGACCACTGACAGAGAGGAAGCCTTGATGGCATCCAGGTGTCCAGTTCCATCTTGTCCTTGAGTCCAGAGTCCACTCTTTTTTTTTTTTTAAATGAGAGAATGCCCTGCATCTTCATAGTAAATGGTCATTTTGTTCAACCAAAACACTCTTATGACTTTTCAGGATAATCTGGAGCTCAAGTCATTGTAATTCTTTATCTTTGCACTCCAATCCTTCTCTGCTCTCTAGCTGTCTTCTGCCCCCCATTATTTATCCAGACATTTAGGTTATGGGATACTTTATTTGGTCAATTGAAGCAACACTTATGGCTTGTGGAGGGACAGTGAGAGTAACCTAGACAAACCTCAGGGAATAGTTTGAAACATCAGTCTGCACGATCTTTGGGTGAACTGGATCTATGAATTAGGATTCTACAATAGCACTTCCCAAAATTTGTCCCTTAGAACATTAATCATGAAAGTGTTAAGAATATAAAGTATTCCATAGTAAAATAAGTCTGTGAAAAAAGCAAAATACATCTACCTCTTGTATGTGCACAAGAGGGGACTAAAGATCCTCTTGATGAAAGTGAAAGAGGAGAGTGAAAAATTTGGCTTAAAACTCAATATTGAAAAAACTAAGATCATGGCATCTGGTCCCATCACTTCACGGCAAATAGATGGGGAAACAATGGAAATAGTGGCAGACTTTATTTTCTTGGGTTCCAAAATCACTGCAGGTGGTAACTGCAGTCATGAAATTAAAAGACACTTGTTCCTTGGAAGAATAGCTATGACCAGCCTAGACAGCATATTAAAAAGCAGAGACATTACTTTGCCAACAAAGGTCCATCTAGTCAAAGCTATGGTTTTTCCAATAGTCATGTATGAATGTGAGAGTTGAACTATAAAGAAAGCTGAGCACCGAAGAATTGATGCTTTTGAATTGTGATGTTGGAGAAGACTCTTGAGAGTCCCTTGGACTGCAAGGAGATCCAACCAGTCCATCCTAAAGGAAATCAGTCCTGAATATTCATTGGAAGGACTGATGCTGAAGCTGAAACTCCAACATTTTGGCCTGAGGTGAAGAACTAACTCATTGGAAAAGACTCTGATGCTGGGAAAGATTGAAGGCGGGAGGAGAAGGGGATGACAGAGGATGAGATGGCTGGATGGCATCACCGACATGATGGACATGAGTTAGAGCAAGCTCCGGGAGTTGGTGATGGACAGGGAGGCCTGGCGTGCTGCAGTCCACGGGGTCATAAAGAGTCGGACACGACTGAGTGACTGAACTTTGCGTGTGCATGTGTACTCAGTCACATCCTAGTCTTTGTGACACCATGAACTGTAGCCTGCCAGACCCCTCTGGAATTTTCCAGGCAAGTGGGTTGACATTTTCTACTCCAGGAGACCTTCTTGACCCAGGGATAGTCTTACATTTCATGTTAATATATTAAAGGCTCCGATAAGTCCTGCAGTCAAAAAAGGGATCAAAATTTGTTTAGCCTAGGATTTTCAAAGTTTATGTCATAATATTAACAGATTTCTTTGGGGAGGGGAGTTAATCCTTATTAGCAACATTTTAAATGCTACTTTAAAATGTCTGTTCATGTCTGCTTTACAGCCAAACTGAATTTGAGGTGGGCTGACCTTGGGAATTTTGATAGGAAAGACCCTGGAAAATCCTCACTTCCTTACCTCATACCTCACAGCCCTTTATTAGTCAGGTAGTTAGTGAGAAGGCTAAGAAATGGCCTAGACATCCAGCGCTGTGGGAGAGACTGCCTTATGGCCTCTCTTGACATTTCCTAGAGCCCTGACTTTATGCCTTTGTTTGGTCTTTTTCAAAATATAGTACACACTGACAAAAGTGCATAAATTACAAGTGTACAGTGATGAACTTTTCCAAACTCTTTCACAGACTATTGTAGCCAGCACCAGGGCAAGAAATGACATTATAGTCTCCCAGAGGCCCTTTAATGCTCTTTTAGTCACTTTGCCACACTAGGGTAACCACTCTCTGACTTTATGCCTTTTCTTTCCACATAAATGGATATATCCTGGAGAATAAAGATCGACCCTAGATCTCCTTGTATCACCGCAGTCTAGAACAGGACTTAGGATAGTTAATTGGGCTTAACTGTAAAGCAGGAACTACAAAAGCACAAATGCCGTCAGACTCCTGTATAGGGTAGTGGAGGGACCCTGGAGTCAGACTGCCTGGGTTCAAACCTATGTCTGCAATTCCTACTTGTCTGACCAGGGCCATCACTTAAGTCTTCAGGAACTTCAGTTTCCTGCCTTGCAAAGAGACTAACCTGGATTATCTGGGTGGGTCCTGAATATCATCACAAGTATCCTTATGAGGACAGAGAGAGATTTAAAGATGGCCTTGAAGACTGGATGATAGAGTCGCAAGCTAAGAACTGCCACCAGCCCACCAGAGACTGCAAGAAAAAGAACTGAGTCTCCCATACAGCCCTGGAAGGGCGTGTAGCCTTTGCCAAAACCTTGACTTTGGCTCAGTGAAATTGATTTTAGACTTCTGGCCTCCAGAAAGGTAAAAGAATAATTTTCTGTTGCCTTAGGCTGTGGTGACTTGTTAGGTCAGTCATGGGAATCTAACACACATATCCTGTGATTGGTGTTGGGGAAACAGCAAGAAAGAAAAAGCAGCCTTTGAAGAGGTTACTTTCTACCATGGAACACAGACTATGATGTACAGTCTAATGTTGAAGTTCTGCTGGCTCTACACTAAAGCAGCTAACTGGTGGGAGCCCATGGAACCTGGGAGAAGGGCCGAGAGGAAGCTGGGCCAGGCGTGCAGGACTCTGCAGGCCCTAGGTGATAAGCAGATAAGGGCTCTGTATTTTCTTCTAACTATGGCTTTGGAGATTCTCCATGCATGTGGGAAGCCAGCGGGGCTCCTGTTCAAGCTGTCCTGGGACAGGCTAGGGACTGCAGTCAGTTGACCAGTGTTCCTGTTCTGGGTTACCCCTTTAATTTGCTGTGCCCTCAGGACATTTCTTTAACCTCTCTAGGTTTTAACATCCTTAACTCAGGTTGGATTAACTAATTTATAAGGCTCTTGTTCTTAAAACAATAAACCAATTCCCGTGAATCTTGTCTGAACAGGGGAGCCACGGTCATAAGCACAAAGGCTCCCCCGGCCGTTGACTATCCTCCGCAGGGCCCCTAGAGGGAATCGGGCGAGGCAGCCGGTGCAGAATTGAATTAAGAAACGACGGAGGGCGTATTGTTTTAAGAAGAAAAAAATCCTCTGCTCGTTCCCAGAATCTGCTTCTGATTGTCCGCTGGGCTAGACTCTTAACCACACACGTTTCAGCCAATCCTAGACGGCCTAGGTTCGTTTTCCACTCTCCCAGCAGTCACGCCTCAAGGGGTGAACTCGCAGACCAGAGGAGTGGAACGAAGATTCGCAGATTCCCTCGTCCCACGCCCTGGCCCTGCTGTCCGGAGCCTCCTGAGACCGAGAGCTGCTGAGGATTCACCTCCCTCCCAGCTGTACTGACTCCTGATGGCTGAAGCTAAGATGGGACTCAAGCGCCTTTCTAATTTCTTCCAAGAGGAATTCTCTGATTACTCTTTCCTCTTCATTTTGTGTTAAAGGCTGGCAAACGGTCCTCTTTCCCTCCACATCAAAGTTGGAGCAAAATGACTTGCAGTTCATGTAATGAGAAGCCTCCATTTCTGGGGTCCAAAGTCTCTTTTAAGAAAAAATAACGAAAGGAGGTAAATTTGGGAGGTACTTTTAGCACACATTGTTAAAGCAAATTAAGGATATAGTAATGATTAACAGACTTTTTGATTTTTGTTGTTTTTTAAAAAAATTTTATGGAATGTATTCGATTTGCAATGTTGTGTTAATTTCTGCTAAATAGCAAAATGACTCAGTTATATACACATATATATTCATTTTCATATTATTTCCATTACAGTTTATCACAGGATATTGAATATAGTTTCCCATGCTATTCAGTATGACCTTTTTGTTTATCCATCCTATATATACTAGTTTGCATCTGCTAATCCCAAACTCCCAATCCCTCCCTCCCCTAACTCCCACCCCCTGTGGCAACCACAAGACTGTTCTCTGTATCTGTAAGAGATTTTTAATTTTTCCTCCATTTAATCCTTCTTACATCTAAATCCAGAAACTAAAGAAAGTGGAGTATCTGGAAAAGGATCCACTCGTGTATTTGTTGAGAAAACCTTTTCCGTGTAACTCCTTGTTTTGACATAATTTTGGACTAATAGAAAAGTTGAACTAATGTTGGACCATAAAGAAGGCTGAGCACCAAAGAACTGATGATTTAGAACCGTGGTGTTGGAGAAGACTCTTGAGAGTCCCTTAGATCAAACCAGTCAATCCTAAAGGAAATCAGTCCTGAATATTCATTGGAAGGATGTTGAAACTCGAATACTTTGGCCACCTGATGTGAAGAACTGACTCACTGGAAAAGACCCTGATGCTGGGAAAGACTGAAGGCAGGAGGAGAAGGGGATGACCAAGAGAGGACGGTTGGATGGCATCACCCACTCAATGGACTTGAGTTTGAGCAAGCTGCTGGAGATGGTGAAGGACAGGGGAGCCTGGCGTGCTGTAGTCCATGCGGTTGCAGAGTCAGACATGACTGAGTGAGTGAACGACAGCCATGTGTGTCTGAGTTGCTCAGTTGTGTCTGACTCTTTACGACCCCATGGACTATATATAGCCCGCCAGGCTCCTCTGTCCATGGGATTCTCCAGGCAAGAATACTGGAGTGGGTTGCCAGTTTCTTCTCTAGGAGATCTTCCTGACCCAGGGATTGAACCAGGGTCTTCCACATTGCAGGCAGATTCTTTACCATCTGAGCCACCAGATGACAAAAATAGGCAAGGAATTTCTGAACTTCCTTTTCCCAAATTCCAGATATTAATATTTTACCACATTTGCTCTTTTCTCTTCTATACCCTCTCATATTGTTTTCTGGACCATCTGAGTCAATAACAGAAATTATACCTTTCCCCCATTAACTGTGTATTTCCTAAAAACAAGAACATTCTCTGACATAATCACTGTGCAATGAGCTAGATCAAGAAATTAACATTGACTATTATTTTCTTATCTACAGACTTTGTTCAGGTTTTTCCAATTGCCATTAATATTACCCCCAGTTTTAGGTGGAATTCTGTTGTCATATCTCTTTAGGTTAGTTTTAACTAAAACCGTTTCTTGGTTTTGCTTTTGTTTTTGTTAGTTTTGTTTTTTTATATTGACATATTTTTTAAAAAATACAAGTAAAATATTTGGTAGAATGTCAGTGTTTGGGTTTGTCTGATGTTACTTTATGATTAGATTCAGGATGTGCATTTTTGTTAAGAATACCATGGAAATGACGTGTCTTTCTCAGTACATTACATGGAAAGCACATGATGTTGATTTGTCCCATCACTGGTGTGTTAACTTCGACCACTTGTTAAGATAATAGTAAACATAATATAAAAACTATAAAATATATATTAACACATATAATATATAAATATAATATCTAAGTGAAATGTAATATGTAAACAAAATATAGTATGGTATAATATAATAAGAAATGTACTAGGCTAGTGGTTCTTAAACTTCTGGTCTCATCTCAGAAATAGTTTACACTCTTAAAATTTATTGAGGGTCTCAAAGAGCTTTTGTTTATTTTCATTATGTCTATCAATACTTACTGTAGTGAAATTAAAACAGAAATTTAAAAATATTGACTTATTATTTTAAAATAATAATAATGAACCCGTTACACGGAAACATGAATAATATATATTTTATGAAAATAACTATATGTTCCCAAGCATAAAAATGAATAGAATGTCACTCTTATACATTTTTGCAAACCTCTTTAATGTCTGGCTTAATAGACAGCAGCTGAATTTTCATGTCTGCTTGCAATATGGATTTAATTTATTACAGTATGTTTTTTGCTTAAAGTATATGAAGGAAAAGAAAAACATATGTACACAATTGGGAAAGGAAGGAGTATCTTAGTAGCCTTTTCAGTTGATTTTGGATAATCTTTGATACTGTACTAAAACCCAGTGAGTATAATTTCTTAAAGGTATTTGCAGTATAAAACCTGAAACCACATCAGTGAACATTTTGTTCTCTGTTAGGTTAAAATTCTGGTTTATCGTATACTTTGGTTGGATCTGTTACCCAGGCATGCTTTTGTTAACATTATATGCTGGTCATTTGGAAAGTATTGGCACCCTGAGCTATACCTGTCTTCTGAATGTTGCCACTTCTTTATATAACAACCAAAACATTTTCACATTTGTTAATATCCCCCCTAACTTCTTCTCAAGAGTAAAAAGTTTAGATATTGAGAAGCTGTGACGTTCACAGTGGTAGATACAAATTTTCCAAAATCTGAGTCTTCATTTGAAAACTCAAATTTTAATTAACAGCAATAAATATTGCCCATTGTTTTCTCTGAAGTGACAGGTTTACTTTGTTTATTTTGAGAAAATGTCCACTGAAGTCTCAATTCTGAATGATCATGGTTTGTCAGTTGTTCTTTCAAGTCAAAATGGTGTTACATGAAAAAAAGCCTCTAGCTCAGTTCACAGCTCAAATAATTGCACAAATGCTTTTTTGGGACAGCACTTGCACGTTGATGTGCAGCAGAAAGAAGTGCTTTATGCATATCATCACTTACACAAAATATTAAAAAGATGAGCATTAAAGTGTCAAGATTAATGAAATTAGATACATTTTAACGCTTAAGGACATTTAAAGTGAAACTTTTCTTTTTTTAAAAAAAAACCAACAGTATTGATGATTACAAGGACTACCAGTATGGTATGGTAATACTATACTATATGGGGCTACTATGTTGATTTATGCTAAGGTGCCAGCAGTTTTACACACCGTTGCTTTCATGATTTGTGCAAATATCAGCCTATGAAAAAGGCAAATGACATCTTAATATTATTATAAAAACACTTGGAACTGAAAGTGTCTCGGGAATTCCGTGTCTAGAGATCACACCTTGAGAAGACCATGAAACATAAATATCTATATAATATATTAGTACATATTCTGTCCTCCATGAACTTAACCTCTAGCTGGGTCAACAGAGCAGTTGACAAAAGGCAAGATGAGGGAAGCATCTGTAGGTAGACATAAGTTATTGGCAATATTTTAGTTCTTGGTTTTGGTCATGTGTGCATGGAATTTGGCTACATTATAAATCTGTGCTGTCCAGTATGGTAGCCACTGGCCATGTATAACTATTGATCATCTGAAATATGACTAGAAACAATTAATATATGCTCTAAATGTAAAATACGAACCAAGGTTTGAAGGCTTCATATGGAAAAAAAACAAATGTAAATATCTCATTAGTAATGTTTCTATTGATTATTTGTTGGAGTGATAATCTCTTGGCTATATTAGGTTAAACAAGTATGTTATTAAAATTAATTTCAGTTGTTACTTTATATTTTTTTAAATAGAGCTACTAGAATACTTAAAGCTGCATATGTATCTTCCATTATATTTATACTAGGTGGTATGGTTACAAATAAGTAAAGAGATAAAACAAAACACATATTGGACTTCCCTGGTGGTCCAGTATTGAGACTCTGGGCTTCCACTTCAGGGGGCATGAATTAGATCCCTGGTCCAAGAGCGAAGATCTCATATACTACGCAGTGTGGCCAAAAATAAAATAAATAAGAACATGATTATAAAACAGGGTTAAGTATAAACCAGCAATGATAATGCATTACAAACCAAGGATTATTTTTCAACCATTTCTGTGCCTATGAAGTCAAGGGCAAAAAAGAACTTTAAATAGTGTGGTAAAGATTATTTAAGTCATTTCATAAAGACTCAGGTAGCTGAGAGAGCACAGCGGAGGGGCAACTAACCAGTCTTAGAGAGATTACAGAAAGACCTTTTCCCAGAGAAAGGATTATCTCACTTGTAACTAAAAGAAAATTAGAAAATTTTCAGGTGAATTAGGTGTAAGTAGGGAGGAAGGGAAAGGGTACTCCAGGGAGAAGGAACAGAATTTGCAGAGACTCAGAGCCTTTCTCAGAGCACAGTTGGAAAACTCCAGAATTTATAGGGGCTATTGTAATACTGTTACATCACCACCTGCAGTTATTTACATAAAATTCCGTTTTCCCTGAGGTATGTGTGTATAAAAGAGAAGATTTATTTGACTTTCCTGCATTTTTTCTCAAAAGGATCATGAATTTTAAATTATATATTTTAAAACCTGGGAAACATCCCAGGCTCATGCTAAGAGATACTTTGGAATTACTATTTAGTTTTATAGACACACATGGGGTTTTGCTTATCCACATCTTGCCAAAATTGTGACCTTTCACGTTCAGGATGGTAAAAACCTGACTCCATGATACATGGAGCTGCACATGGCTCTCAGCAAGAGGAAAAGTAAAAAAATAAAAAGTTCACAAAGGCATAAAAATCGTACTGTGCAGTGACATCACATCAATGTTATGGTTAATGTTACACTGAGCAGTGGGACCCCGGTGTCAGAACTTTGGGAAGTAGCTACCTTGCAGCCCAGTTGCTGCTCCATCAATTGAGAGACCAGTCCCAGGCAGAAGGTGGAGACAGGGTTTATTTATTATTAGCTTTTATTTTGTATTAGGGTATAGCTGTTAACAAACAATGTTATGGTAGCTTTAGGTGAACAGTGCCAAAAGGACTCAGCCACACATATGCCTATATTCATTCTCCCCCACACTCCGCTCCCATCAGGGCTTCCACGTAACATCGAGCAGTTTCATGTGCCCTTTAGAAGGTCCTTTGTGTACATGTCCATCCTAAATTCCTTAACTATCTTTTCTCTCCATCCTCCCCCCACCATCCACCCTGGTAATCATAAGTTTGCTCTCTAAGTCTGTGAGTCTCTTTCTGTTTTGTAAGTTCATTTTTATCACGTCTTTTTAGATTTCCTCACAGAGGGATGTCATGCAATATTTCTCCATCTCAGTCTTACTTCACTTAGTGTGACAGTCTCTAGGTTTATTCATGTTGCTGTAAGTGGCATTATTTCACTCTTTTTAATGGCTGAATAACATTCCATTGTATATATGTACCACATCTTCTTTATCCATTCCTCTTTAGATGGATGATGGGCATTTAGGTTACTTACATGTCTTGGCTATCATAAACAGTGTTGCAGTGAACATTGGGGTGCATGTATCCTTTCAGAACATGTTTGTCTCTGGATATTTGCCCAGAAGTGGGATTGCAGAGTCCCACTGCAATATGGAACTTCCCACAACTTCCCACAATATGGAAGTTCTATTGTTAGTTTTTTTAAGGAAACTCCATGCTGTTCTCCATGGTGGTTGCGCCAATTTACATTCCTACCAACAGTGTAGGAGGGTTCCCTTCTCTCCACACCCTCTCCAGTATTTATTGTTTGTGAATTTTTGATGATAGCCATTCTGGCTAGTGTGAGGTGATATCTCATTGTAGTTTTGATTTGCATTTCTGTAATAATTAGCAATGTTGAACATCTTTTCATGTGTCTCTTTGGAGACAGGATTTAAATGGCCTTCTAACTTGACCTCTTCCTTCTCCCTCCTTAGATGAAAATCATGTTTGAAGTCCTCAATCTTTAAAAAAACTGGATACTAGGACATCTTCAGTATGAAAAAAGCATAGTCAAACCCTAAACCAATGACCTGAGCTCCCCAATTTACCTTTGTAATCATCT